TTAAGTTTTTAAACAACCTCCATACTGTTCTCCATAATGGCTATACCAATTTATATCCCCAGCAACAGTGTACAAAAGTGTTCCCTCCTCTCCACATCCTCATCAATATTTATCTTTCGTAATTTTTATACTAGCATGTTGACTAGTGATAGTCAGGTGAGGTGATAACTTGTGGTTTTGACTTGTATTTCCCTGATGAATAGAGATTGTGAGTATCTTTGCATCTACTTATTAGCCATTTGAATTTCTTCTTTTGAGAAATGTGTATTTAGGTCCTTTGGCCATATATTTTTTTAAGAGTTTATTTTTTAAAGCAGCTTTTGGTTTACAGCATAATGAAGGGGAAGGTATAGAAGTTTCTCATATACCCTTGGCCCCTCACTGGGTAGCCTCCCCCTTATCAACATCCCCCATCGGAGTGGTACCTTTGTTACAACTGATGAACTACATTCACACATAATAATCATTGAAAGTCCATAGTACACATTATGGTTCACTCTTGGTGGTGTACCGTCTATGGGTTTGGACAAATGTATAATTACATGTATCCATCATTATGGTGTCATTATGGTGTATTTTCACTGCCTTAAGAATTTTCTGGGCTCTGCCTATTCATGCTTCCTGCCCTAACCCAACCTCTTTTAAGTGTCTCTACAGTTTTGTCTTGTCCAGAATGTCGTATAGTTGGAGTCATACAGTATGTCATCTTTAGAGATTGGCTTCTTCGCTTAGTGCACTTATGTTTCCCTCATGTCTTCTCTTAGCTCAGTTGGTAAAGACTCTGCCTGCAGTGCAGGATGCCTGTGTTCAATTCCTGGGTCAGGAAGATCCCCTGGAGAAGAAAATGGCAACCCACTCCAGTGTTCTTGCCTGGAGAATCCCATGGACAGAGGAGCCTGGCAGGCTACAGTCCATGGGGTTGCAAGAGTCAGACACGACTGAGTGACTAACCCCACCCCCCCCATGTCTTCTCATGGCTTGATAGCTCATTTCTTTTTCATGCTGAATGATATTCCATTGTCTGGATGTACCATGGTTTATTCATTCATTCTTCTACTGAAGGATGTCTTGGTTGCTTCTAAATTTGGAGAATTATGAATAAAATTTCTTTAAACACCTGTGTGCAGGTTTTCTGGACCTGTTTTCAGCTCTCTGGGGTAGCTACCAGGGAACGTGGCTACTGGATCATAGGATAAAAGTGTGTTTATAGAACTAGAGCCAATGGTGAGTCCCGTAGGGCCAGCCTCACCTGTGCTGGATCTTCGTGCTGGGGTGCCTGTGGGCTCCTTGCTGGGGCTTTTCTGGTCCAGGGAGGGGGGTTCTACTGGCTCAGGCAGCTGGCATCTCTGAGAACAAAAACTGTGGCTCCTTTGGCGATGAAAGCTTCAGGGGATCTGCAGCAGATGCAGTGGCTATTAACCAGCAGCCCCCTCAGAGGTGTCCACTCCCAGGTCCAGACTGTGAGAGTTGTAGGGGGTCTGTGGTGGACGCGAGCGCTGCTCAGGCCCATGGCAGATGGTCCCCTCAGATATTGTGGTCTCTTGAGAGCACTCCACAGGGGCTGTGATGTCGCCCAGCCCTTCTCATGTCACTTCTTTTCTTCTCGGTGTCTCCAGTTGTCCTGCTGTGCCCATCGTCCCCATGGTCTGGCTGGGATGAAACAGCTCCTGCAGGCAGCACCCAGAGAGGTTGGGGAAGGAGGAAGCTCACTCTGCTTTACTTTCCTGCCTGCCTGGCCCATGGAACCCTCCAGTGAAGGGGACCCTCTGGGTGCCGAGCTGTGCCATCCTGGGGGGCAGGATGATGCAGGTGAGAGGAAACCTTTCTTCCTACCTGTTCTTTGTGGTTCATTTTTATTGATTTATTTGTATTTTCCTTTACTGCATTGCTGTAGCATCATGACTAGAGTCCAGAGTTCTCCTCGGGCTGTTTCTGTTTGCAGATAGTTGTCCGGCTATTATTATCCTGTGGAGAGATGAGGGTGAGGTTCCCTACTCTGCCATCTCACTGACATCACCTGACAGAACCTTTTTAGTTCATTCATTTTCAGCCCTATGGGGTGTGCCTACATTTTATCATAACTGCAATTCTTTATCTGTTCCACTATGATGACACCTCCCTTTATATTTTGGGCTTCCCTGGTGGCTCAGATGGTAAAGCATCTGCCTGCAGTGCGGGAGACTCAGGTTCAATCCCTGGGTCAGGAAGATCCCCTGGAGAAGGAAATGGCAACCCACTCCAGTACTCTTGCCTGGAGAATTCCATGGACAGAGGTCCCTGGCAGGTTACAGTCCATGGGGTTGCAAAGAGTCGGACACGACTGAGTGACTTCACTTTTTCTCCCTTTCCCTTTATATTTATTTAGCTTTTATGAACAGCAGAGCTATGAATATTCTCCTGTCTGTTCTGTGGTGGTTGTATACAGAGTTTTCTTCAGGGGATTCTTCTGGCCCAGCTTGGCAGCGCTTCTGTGGCTGCAGGCATTTGATGGCTGGATTGGGTCTGCTGGGTGGCTTCACTTCGTCTGTCTGGCAGGCGGCGCTGGTGTTGGCGAAGATAGAGCTGTTGTCTCTCATGTGGTTTGTGTTCTTCCAGTTGGCTGGATTGGGTTTTTGCAATCAATATAGTCTCAGGGTTCTAAGAGGCTTGGAGGAAGAGATACAAGGTCTCAAGTTCTAGGCTCTGTCATTCTCACCTACCCTTTTGGTCAGAGGAAGGCAGGACACCCGCCTGGATCTAAGAGGCAATAGTGTAGATTTCACTTCTTGGTGCCATGTTTATAAGTTAGCACAATCTCCAAGATACTGCTTTAGTTATCTATCACTGCCTATTAAACCACCTCAAACTTAATGAAATAACAGTGCTTTACTATTTTCTGTGTTGTGGTTGGCAACCTGCTCAATTTTTGTGCTTTTCTATCTTGGGGCTATTTAAGAGGCTGCAGCTATCTGATGGCTAGAATGGACCTGGAGGATCCATGCAGGTCTCAGAATCTGTCTGGCAGTTGGAGCTGGTCATTTCTGGGATCTCCGCTAAGTAGCGCTCCATTCTTCAGGAAACTGGATTAAGATGATTCACACCAGTGTGGTCTCAGAGGTTCAAGAAAGTGAGGGCAGAATTCACAAGACTGTACCTGCCTGAGCTCGGCAGCCCACCCAGCATCACTTCCTACAGGTTATTGGTCATAGCAGGACACAAGTCCAGCCCAGTTTGAAGGGGTAGGGGAAATAAGCTTTTATTCATGTAAGGAGGTGCAGTATATCATGGAGATATTTACAACCTACCACAAATTGTAAGTTTTTTTCCCTTGTTTGTTTTAAAGATTTTGTCTGATATTAGTAATATACCTCAACTTTATTAAAAAAAAATAGGTAATATTTGCTTGTTTTCATTTTGGTCGTTTACATTTCAATCTTTTTTTTTTCTTCTGCTTTAATGAATATATGGTTTAGCTCTTAAAATCCATCTAAAATTATATATATTTTCTAACCTTTGTTACGTTAAAAAGTTTTTTTTTCCTGTGAACTAGTTTGAATATTTGAACAGAGGATAAAATTAATGTTCAAACATTCAAACTAGTTCACAGGATTGGACAGAATTGCAGAGTACGTGTCAATTTTGTTTTGGAATTCAGACAACACCCTTACTAGTAGAAAGTATAGGAAAATGTAAATAAATGTATTTTCAGGGAGTATTACAGAATTTCTCTTTTATCTAGAAAATAGTACAACTAAATTTTTTGATGATGATTTTCAGTTATTTACTTCCAGAAAGACTCATAGCTATTAATACTTTTCTCGATACTATCTTCAATAGGAAATACCATCCTCAATAGAAATTTCTGAATTTTTATAAGTTTAATTTAATTTTATGGCAGTGTAAAGTTTTCTTATAATAAGCAAAGCTTTCAATAATATAAAATATCCTTATTTAAAAATGAATTTCTCTTTGCTTTCTTTAATTTTTACCAGAAATGCCTCTTCAATATTTATTTGACTAACTTAAAGTCTTACTTTGGAGGTTGAACATACTTGTGCCTTTATTTTCTACTACATTTTAAATTTTGCCAAGATTTTTAAGCAAACCATTTTCTTAATTATTTGTAAGACCACATGTTATTTTTATAAACAGAACTATTCTTGAATGTTTTGTCTTAATTTTCTTAAATGAAACCCATCTGTTTAAATTTATAAGCAATGACTATGCTAAAGTAAACAATTATGGTAACAAATCTGAATCTGTGAGCATATAAACTATGACAAAGTCATCTCATTTAGCAGGGAAATTAAATGTATAGCAGTTGTGCCTTGAGTGTGTTAGTCACTCAGTTGTGTCTGACTCTTTATGATCCCATGGACTGTATGTAGCCTGCCAGGCTCCTCTGTCCATGGAATTCTCCAGGCATGAGTTCTGGAGTTGGTTGCTGTTCCTTTCTCCAGGGGATCTTCCTGACCCAGGGATCGAACTGTAGTCTCCCGCATTGCAGGAGGATTCTTTACTGTCTGAGCCACAAATTACATTTTTAAGTTCCAGGGCAAGAGCAGAGACTGAAGATCATAATTCAGTCTTTTCTCTTGCATATTACTGAAAAACATTACCTTGAATTTTTTCTCAAAATACAGCTGAACATATTCTTTTGTATAGATATTAGTCATAGCAGCTGTGAAGTCTTATTTAATGGGTGGACAAGGGAAGATCACATGCCATGGAAAAATGGCTAAGATAAAGTCACTACTTTATTTTCTGAGGGTGTGGTTGAGTGGATGAACAGACCTGTGGGTTTACTTTAGATGAAACACAGCAGAGAAATGGAAGTTTATCTCTTTTGGAGGCTTTCAGAATTAGTCTAAAAGTCTAAATGGACTAAAATTGAGCTCAAGCTCATGGCTTGTTTTTCTTTCCTTTTGGACAGTTAATGGATATTAAAGCTGTGCCTCAGGACTTGGCCTTCTCCAGGAGAGAGGGGACACACAAGAGTTTAGGGAATGTAGGTTCCAGACCTCCCAGTTTCAACCAGAGGGCTGCTTCCAGGGCTCCGCCCTTTTCTGTTTCCTGACCAGCTTCTTTCAGCATCATCAGTAAGCAACCTGCTGATCCCTGAGCAGCACAGAGAAGGTACATAGGCTCAGGTATGTTTGACCAGAGTTAATTAATAAAAATCAAGTAATCTGCCCAAATAATTGATATTTTATGGTATTTATGAACCTTTATTATTCCATTAAGCTCACAAATAACCTTATTAAAGTGTTGCTTTAATAAACACCACCCTGACAGACCTCAAAAAAAAAAAAAAATCACGAGAGTCAGCTTCATTATAAGCAAACTACAGGCTTTGCATAAGTCCCTGGAGCAGGTGACAATTTGATTTTTAAGTGGCTTACTGATACTTTGCATTGATGTAGCACCATTCAAACCATGCCTCAAAGTGCTTTACAAAACATTAATTAATAACAGCTCATAATATCCCATGGAGGATGGTACATTTTGCAGCTATACTTTTAGAGAGGAAATTTCCAGGGGTTAAGAGGCTTCATAAAAGTCACACTTCAGAAGCAGTTGTGAAGCTATGAACTGAGTTAAGAATATGAAACTATCAGTTTCTAGCACTATCAAACAGGACTCACTTCCTCTTACTGTGTTAATAACCAAACTAACTGGCATGTTGTTTTTCAAGTTTTTAAAACAAAAGCAGCCTAATTCAGAAAGTAAAAAAAAATGTCAATGCTTCAGAAAGCCTTTTGAAATAAATCTGAAAATGGCTATGAATTTCTTGTTGTTCTTCTTGTTCAATTGCTAAGTCATGTCTGACTCTTTGTGACCCCATGGACTGCAGCACACCAGGCTTCTCTGTCCTCCACTGTCTCCCAGAGTTTGCTCAATTTCATGTCCACTGAGTTGGTGATGCCATCAAACCATTTCATCCTCTGTCACCTCTTCTCCTTTTGCCTACAATATTTCCCAGCATCAGGGTCTTTTCCAGTGAGTCATCTCTTCATATCTAGTGGTCAAAGTATTGTATATCTTCAACTTCAGCATCAGTCCTTCCCATGAATATTCAGGGTTGATTTTCTTTAGGATTGACTGGTTTGATCTCCTTGTTGTCCAGCGGATTCTCAAAAGTCTTCCTCAGCACCACAATTTGAAGGCATCGGTTCTTTGGCTGTCGGCCTTCTTTATGGTCCAACTCTCACATCCGTACGTGATTACTGGAAAAGCCATAGCTTTGACTGTATCGACTTTGTTGGCATACTGGACTGTATGGACTATATGGACACTGCTTTTTAATACACTGTTTAGGTTTGTCATAGCTTTCCTTCCAAGGAGCAAGCATCTTTAATGCCATGGCTGCTGATACTGTCTACAGTGATTTTGGAGCCCAAGAAAAATCTGTCACTGTTCCCACTTATCCCCCTTCTGTTTGCCATGAAGCAATGGGAGTGGATGCCATGATCTTAGTTTTTTTTTCTTTTTTAATGTTGAGTTTAAGCCAGCTTTTTCACTCTCCTCTTTCACCCTCATCAAGAGCCTCTTTAGTTCTTCTTCACTTTCGGCCATTAAAGTGGTATCATCTTATCTGAGGTTGTTGATATTTCTCTCAGCAATCTTGCTTCAGGCTCGTGATTCATCCAACTTGGCATTTCTTGTGATGTACTCTGCATAGAAATTAAATAAACAAGGGGACAATATACAGCCTTATCATACTCCTTTCCCAATTTTGAACCAGTCAGTAGTTCCATGTCTGATTCTAACTGTTACTTCTAAACCCATACACAGGTTTTCAGGAGATGGATGAGGTGGTCTGGTACTTTCACCTCTTTAACAGTGTTCCACAGTTTGTTGTGAGCCACACAATCAAAGGTTTTTGGCATAGTCAATGAAGTAGATATTATTTTGGAATTCTTTTGCTTTCTCCATGATCGGATGAATGTTGGCAATTTGATCTCTGGTTCCTCTGCCTTTTCTAAATCCAGCTTAAGTTCTCAGTTCATGTATTGAATCAGTTCACTGCTTAAGCTTATCCTGAAGGATTTTGAGCATAACCTTGATAGCAAAAATAGTTGAATTTTAAAAATGAAGGCGTTTACTGTAAAAGACACCAACTACTTGAAAACTGTGTTGTTGGAAGAGGGAAAGGTTAAATTTGGCAATTTGGCATTGAATATTGATTTAAAAGTAACATTTAGAGATACCTAGTTGTAACTAAAGAGCGCGTACTGTATGTTGGTTAAGAGAATAGGCTTTGGAGTTGAATAGAATTGAATTTAACCTTCAGTACTACTGTATAATTGCTGTGAGACTTGCAGAAATTACTGAGTCCATCTGATCTTCTGTTTCTTCATCTGTAAATATATAGGATTTGACTCTGTTAAAATGTTCCTAATCATATACATAGACATACACATGAAGAAGAATGCCAGGTTCTTATCATAAATGTATTCCATTTCTCTGAGTAGTTTATCTGGAAAAATCAATTGGAGATTTTTGCCTCTGTAAATTTAATGTTTAAAACTATGTAGCCCACAAAAATCATATAACATTTAAAATTTACAAAGGATATAAAATTGAAAAGTATTTACCTCTTAGCTGTTTCTAAGCTACCTAGATAATCTCCAAAAGGAACCTCAAAATTTTGTAAGTGGGTTTCCAAATTTAGACGTGAATGTATTGACATTTTCTTTGTGCATCTGCTCATGCAACTAAAATTATGTCTAATACATATTGTCCAAAAATCCTCTCTTAATATATTAGAATTCATTTCATGTTAGTATACTTAGAGCTATTGTTTTTTGAGCTGCATATTATTTCTTTTTAATTCATTAAAAGTGTTAGTTGCTCAGTTGTGTCTGACTCTTTGTGATCCGATGGACTGTAGCCCCCACCAGGCTCCTCTGTCCATGAAATTCTCCAGGCAAGAATACTGGAGTGGGTAGCCATTCCCTTCTCCAGGGGATCTTTCTGACCCAGGGATTGAACCTGGTCTCCTTTATTGCAGGCAGAGTCTTTACCATCTGTGTCACCAGGGAAGCCTCTCGAATTCTTTAAAGGCGGATCCTTTACCAATGAGCCACAAGGGAAGCCCATTTTTGTATATAGTGAAGTGAAGTGAAGTCGCTCAGTCGTGTCTGACTCTTCGCGACCCCGTGGACTGCAGTCTACCAGGCTCCTCCGTCCATGGGATTTTCCAGGCAAGGGTACTGGAATGGAGTGCCATTGAGGGTAGAATAAATACCTGTAGCACAATTGTTGTGTCAAACTATACGTATTTTTAATTTTAATAGATATTGCTTGCTTGTATTATAAATTTGACAGTCCCATCTGTATCTCCTTGCCACGCCAATAGTAAACACTATCACCTTTTAAAAAATTTTGTCAATGTTATAGGTATAAATGTTTTATTAATTAGAATGCATATAAAATATTAAAATTAAAAAATTTTAAATTAAAATTAAAAGACATGTAGATAACATAACCAGCCACAAAGAATAACTTCTGTTGATGCTAAATTTTGACTGATATTTTATATATAATCTTCAGTAATTTAAATATACCGGGCTTCCCGTGTGGCTCAGCTGGTAAAGAATCTGCCTGCAATGTGGGAGACCTGCGTTTGATCCCTGGGTTGGGAAGATCCCCTGGAGAAGGGAAAGGCTACCCACTCCAATATTCTGGCCTGGAGAATTTCATGGAGTGTATAGTCCATGGGGTCACAAAGAATTGGACATGACTGAGCAACTTTCACTTTCTTTCACTTTCAATTTAAATATACCACCTGCCCAGTATTATATTGCATGTATTTGGGCCATATTGGTTTGTATTGTATAGGAAAATATAATTCTCAAGAGTCATTCTAAAAATACCATCAATTTTTAAGTGGTATGTTTTTTTCTGAAGTTTTAAGTAGTGTTTTTATAATATCAAATTGTTTAAATTACCATTTCTCAAACACTAGCCTAAAATATATTATGGGGTTCCCAGGTGGTGCTTGTGGTAAAGAACCCACCTGGCAGTGCAGCTAGAGGTAAGGAAGGTGGATTTGATCCCTGGGTCAGGAAGATCCCCTGCAGGAGGACATGGCAACCTCCTCCAGTATTCTTGCCTGGAGAATCTCATGGACCGAGGAGCCTGGCGGGCTGCAGTCCACAGGGTCACTCAGAGTTGGACATGACTGAATATTTTGTCAGGATACACGTTTGAGAAATTCGGTGCAAAATTTTTGAATACTTTATCTGTTGAAATGTTTTAGGAAAAAAAGTTTGGTTCTCATGATTTTGTATCTTCATTTGTAGTTGTCTATTTGTTGAAAAACATTAAAAAAAAGTCTTACAATGCACTTGGAGCACAGCATATGTGTGTGTGTGTATGTTAAATGTGTGTAGTGAGTACTGTTTGTATTGTTGTATTTTTGGCTTTCTAAATGGAATAGTAGAAAAGATTTCACTAATGTCACCTATGTTTTCATGAGAGAGCATTCTAATTTAACAGAGTTATTCTACTAACAGATTGGAGTTGACATTCATGAAATTGAAATTTGTTTGACTTGTGTATGAGATGAAAGTTTTAAGCCACTATTCCTATAATTCTTTGACCTTGTTTATGCCGATGTACAAAAGTAGTATTCTTTATAGCCAGGATGATTTCTGTAATTTAATTAGCCTCCTACTTCATTTTCCTTTTATTTTTTAAAAGTGAAATAGCTCAAATTTTTCTGTGTCTGTATCTCTCTTGACAAAAGAAGCTTAATATGAGCATTCAGAGGTGAGGATGGTATACATGGAGGGGATTGGTGGTAAAGCTCACAGTGGCTAGCATAAATATGATATTTTTCTAATTTGCTTACAACTTGTATTTTATTCCATATTATCTCCTGGTTTTAAATGGGCTTCCACTCACAGCATTGCATAAATCTGTTGCTTCAGTATTATGTACCACATTTGTTGGGTGACATTTCCTACCCTTGCCACAGATAAGCCCTGTGCACGGTTTGACAAGGACTGGCATGTGTTGAGTTAAACGAGCAATTCACTGGGTAATTGAACTGATTTAATCAAAGTCAAAAGACTTTACCCAAAAGG